GCACTTGTGAGCATCCTACGACCATAAACGCTTAGGAACTCTGCAGTCAGACAGTTCGATCGTGTGTGTGCTGTTTTAAATACAAGCCCCGACTGATGACTCAAATTATGGGAAATCTTCCCGCAGAAAGACTCCGTGCTCTCCGCCCATTTGCAATATGTGGCGTTGATTTTTGTGGCCCTGTTTATACGACATTGAAAATACGAGGAAAGCCCCCATATAAGTCCTACGTTGCCTTATTTGTTTGTTTTGCGTCCAAGGCGGTTCATTTAGAAATTGTTTCAGACCTAAGTACTGACTCTTTTTTATTGGCTTTTCAAAGGTTTATTGGTCGCCGAGGATGTCCCCAGACCGTGCATTGCGACAACGCGACGAACTTCGTCGGAGCGAGTCGCCACTTCCAGGCTCTTCGCGAGAGGCTCGAGGAGCAGGCGGACGCGATTCGCGAATTCGCATCAAAAAGCGGATGCGAATTTGCGTTCACACCCCCTCGGGCTCCGCACATGGGCGGACTATGGGAGGCAGGTGTGAAAACTGCCAAGCACCTACTCCTACGAGCGGTGGGCAGCGCACTCCTCAACGCAGAAGAGCTGGAGACAGTCCTCGTCGGAATCGAGGCCATAATGAACTCGCGGCCCCTCGGAGCTCTCAGCCAGGACCCAAGCGAGGGAGAGGCACTCACTCCAGGACACCTGCTGACAGGCGGGCCCCTCGTCGCAGCACCAGCACTGCGGACCCCGGACCAGGCGGGTCTCAGCTGTTTGCGGCGATGGCGGCGATGGTCCCGGGAGTATGTGCTGGGCCTCCAAATCTGAGGAAAGTGGCACCACGAGCAGGAAAACATCAAGGAGGGACAGCTCGTTATCGTGGCAGAGGACAACCTGCCGCCTCAACAGTGGCTACTAGGACGGATCGTCGCGACGCACGCAGGAGAGGACGGCATGGTCAGGGTCGTCGATCTTAGACGGAGCGATGGAGCCATCTTCCGAAGTGCGATCCACAAGCTGGCGCCGCTTCCAGGATGTTGAAGCCGTGGAGGCGTTCAACGGGGCCGGTGTTGGCTGAGATGATAATTTGAAGTCTAGTGTAGTTAGTTTAGGGCGAAGGCGAGAGCGCAATAAAGCTCTCTCACGCTCTTCGCGAATTCGCCTCGCCTTCGCCAACCTTAGCATAAGCAAGGCTAAGCTAAGAAATATAGATTACTCGCATTTTTTGAATTCGAAGCATCGCATCATTTTTCGTCCGTGCCAAATTCTTGTTACCACATCTCGGTCTAGTTAATTTAATTTTTAGTAAACTAATTAAAAAATTCAATGGTAATTATACAATGTTATAGTTACTACTTAACAGTAAGACAAAACTGCTGGGAGTAACAATTTAACAGCGGTCAATACGTTTGTTTGTTTTATAGTTCTGGCCGGTAAACGCATTTACAAGTATGTATTTTCATCACTGTTTGTACGCCATTTAAAGCCTAATAAATAATTGTAGCTGTACGTTTTTTTATACGGTCAGTGTTTTCTGCCTGATCTTTGTTTAGTAGCTATCGACAGCCTCTTCATCGGTTTGCGGCGTATCGAGTTTTCTTTCTTTTTTAGCCTTTCGTCGATTTATCCATGGCATAAAGCTCCAAAGGCTGGCCCCAGCCAGCAGTGTCAGTCCAAATGCATGGAACAGCGGATTATAATCATTGACCGCCTCAAACCAGAAGTTCCAAAGCGGCGGCCCAACTGAAACAAGGCGTTAACAAAAAGGCTGATGCCATATGATGTCGTTAACCGTTCGGTACCTAACATATCTGCTAGATTCCAGAAGCTAGACCGAAGAGGGCTCACCAGAAACAAACTGAGCTGTATGACTATGCAAATGGCAGCAATGCAAGAGAAAGACCTGATATAGACAAGCCTCCAACAAAGTACCACGTCTTAGGTATGTACCCCATGTCAGAAAGTGCTGAGCCTCTAATACGACCGATAAGATCCGTGGCAGAAACAACGGATAGTAGGTACACTGATAAAGATTTGTTAAAGCCTCTGGTTTCTCCAAAACTTGGAAGCAAAATTATAAAATTCGTATACCTGATGGCATTTGTCGAACTAGAAATTAGTATGACTAAGTACATCGGGCAAGCTAAGATCGAAAAACTTTGACCGTTGCGGTACTTGTGCCTTACCCCGAGCTACATCGGTTGTGGGGAACAGTAAGTAAGTAAATAATAGTAAGCTTTATTGAAAGCTTTCTATTCCTGTCAATGTGATTGTTAAAAAAATTGCTTATTGTCTTTAATATAGACAGATTGTAAATAAAATCGTTTCAAAAAAAAAAAAAAAAGCTACATCGGTAGTCCCAGACATTTCTGGACACGATGAGTCACTTACCACGTCCGCTCCGTTGTTACTGCCATTGAACGAATGGCTGGAATGACAAAGTACTACCTTGATATGGTGTGCTAACATATAGAAAGCTACTAGTTGACGGCGAACGCTTAGAGAGTCCCGACTTTGAGGAATTTCTAAGAGAGAGTTTGTTTGAATTAAAGCGAGTCTCCGGTACAGCATACAAGAAGATTGTGAGTTCAGTTGGCCGGGCGTAAACGTTTGATTCCTTTGCGGCAACCTCACTGGAGTACTTATCTTTCGAGTTCGAGATTGGAATTCATCACCAGGCTTGGATTAACTTTGAACAACAGCTGCGGAAGCACTACGAAAGAACAGCTGTTTCTCATCCTCTGGTAGAAATTGGGGGGTTGGTGGTGAGTTATGGGGTAGTAGGTACTTATCAGCTTGCTCCTGGCCTACTACGTTATCGTTAACGTTCTCGAATTTCATCTCTATTCCAATGTCCTCTTCTTCAGGTATGTCTCAGCTCAGCGGCCTGCTTATGTAAACTTTATGTATGCTCAGCGTAACAGTGTGAGCGCGAGGAAGAGTGTTTACGTTAGCTGTCGGCTGTATGAAATATACCGACGCTGCACTTCTCTTATACTCAAGCATATTGGTGCGGTCATATTACTCCGCACTTGACAATATGCTTGGTTGTCATACTTACTTAAACTTTGCAACAAAGTGCTACAATGTGTTTCTACTTATGTTAGTACCGTATGTACTCTATATGTGTGCACGCTACACCAAAGTCTGGCGGGCACGTAGAACACGTACCATGTGTTGCTTCACAGGCTCATAAAAAAGAGCAGCTACAAAATCATTGAGGGTAATGCCCCCCATTATGATGCACGATGCTGCCGAGTGCACTGCCTGACATGCACAGACCGTTCGCCAATCCCCGTAATTTCGCAAAGTATGAAGTCACAATATACACTGTGGAAGACCGGCAACAATGCCTACAAGCACGCCATAACTGATATACAGGTACCCAATCGATGATGCCTAGAATAAAGGCTCCGCTCAGGAGAATTACGGTTCGATATGAATATTTGACGGAAAGGATACTTGAAACAGGACCCAATGAACTATAGTGAAAGTAGCACAACGCTGGTATCCAGGAAGCCTTTGTAGGCGAGAAGTTGAAGGCTTCAGCGAACACCGAAACTTTTTATCGTGCCAGGAATGAGGATATTAGTCAAACACGAGCCCAAATGCACTAGTCGTATTCACTGTCATCATTTTTTTTGTTGAATAAGTTAACTGATTTATTGATAGTTTCATTTGCAGTTTCATTCGATTTATGGTCTTTGTGATATCTTTTTTTTTTATTTTTGTGTACATACATTTTCTTCATGCATGGTCTCTTAGGTTCTACTATTTAGGCAATCTAAATTCGTCCTGAAGCAAAATCGTATGTCCAGGCATTCAACAGTAAAGTAATTGGTGCACTTGTAACCTTTACGCCTCTCACAACCAAACAAAAAAGGGGATTCACTTGAAACTTGGTACAGATGTTAGGGAAGAGTGTACCAACATAACAAAAGAAAAAATCGACACAAAACACTCCTCGTATATATATATTACGAAAGATCAAATCGCGAGAATGTCAAGGTCATTAATCCTGTTTCCGATAAATCCATCATTATATCTAGAGGCTCCCGAATATTGTTTTTTTTAGTGTTTAGTGAGATTCAGGAGAAAAGCACTACTGATCACTTCGACCGCCAAATGTAAACTGTTTCATTAAAATAAGAAATGGCTCAAAATGTATTTTAGAAGACGTATGAAACTTTTGAACTTTTTCAATATGAGGGAGCAGCGCTAGGAATGAAGGCTTTATTTAATAATTCGTCAGTGTTCAAGTTAGGACGCCCTTCCCGGCGGCCGCTGCCCCGCCTTTGTCCACCGAACTTCATATGTATGCTGCGAAATAAAGCTAAACCACAGAAGCGAAACCCACGAAGCCCCCACCTTTACTTTTTTCGCCATATACTGTCGTGTGCAACGTGGGATTTTCATCGGATTATTCACCCCCAGGACCTTTAACGGCAGGATCGCCCCTCTACGAACAGTCAGGAATCCTAAGAGCCTCATTTGTGAACAAATACTGGAGAATGCATTTTTTCTAACGGCCAATAGGTCGGAACGAAAAAAAAGTGTTCGGTACGACCGTGGTGACATTAGACATTAATGGGAAGGTACTGTCGGCAGGAGACGAAAAAAAGATAGCTTTGTAGTTGATGTTGCTCTTGCTGGCTTTCGTTTTTGTGGTGATATTGTTGAAGGTGATTTTTTTTTATAATGCCTAATCCTGATTAATTGTCGGTCGGTTTATTCAGTGTTTTCTTGGTAATTCGCACTTCATAGTCTACAATAAATGAATAATATATTTATACTTTATGTGGTTGGAGATGCCTTATTTTGCCGTTTACATATTTTCTTGGTTGGCATGGGAGCTATAATATCTTCCGCTTGCAATTATAAACTGGAAAAACGACTTTACAAACCTTAATGATGTTTTATAATGCCTTATGCTACTTACGGTTGGATACTTATACAATAAATTTGCAAAATCAATAATATATATTTAATTGTTTTTTTACTTGTTCCGTAAAAATATTAACAATACTGCATGAAAATTATTGACTTTAGATTTAACTTTTTTTTTAAAAACTTCTTTTTATGAATATACAACGATGAAATGAAGTTAATCTTGCAATCAAAATTATTAAAAAGTATTAAAATAAATTAAAATTCAATCAAAACTAGGCACCAAATGCAACCGTATTAATATCAGGTATTTTATGTATCTTAAATAACTAAGCGATGTACATGATTCGGCTCAGTTGAGTATGCATTAATATCGGCTGTGGATGGACCAATTACTGCCGAATTTTGTTCCTGTGATGAAACCAATGTTAAACCCCGAGTTGGTCCTTTTTTAGCCTGTAAATGAAAAATATTTTGATTTTAATTTTTACACGATACAAAAAACTTACCGTCTTTGTAGTCTTACACCTTGATTCCATAATTAAATTCTTCGGTACTTGGAAAAGCCGCTCGCCAAGTAAAATTATTACGTTAGTTAAACGACAACAGTCTGCGGCCACCTTAACTTGCTCTTCTATACTTTTTTTGTCAATTGGGTGTATAAACCGTGGTGGAAAAAATGATGGCGCAATTATAGTAGAAACGTTATGTATATTCATTTTGTTAATATCCTTTAAATCAATTATGAAGTTTAAAAATTTGAGTAGCGAACGTAATGTGTTGCGATTTTCGTGTGGTAGCAGTTGGCATAGGATAGATAACGCACATCTTTGATCCATTGTAGGAAGTTTGTTACATTGATAAAAAAGTTTTATAAGTTCGTTGGTAAGCAATGGTTGGGGAAGTTCACGCAACCAACGTTTAAGCAATGCGCTCAGCTCATGGATTGTAGCGGTTCTAAATAGATTAGATATCTTTTCAGGCTTTTGATAAAATATTGATTCGAATTCGTTGTACAGCATTTCAGTCTGGAAATAAAATAAAGATGTAGTACATGAAACAAAAAACAAAAAAAGAAATTAACTTTAATTACAGTTACTTAAAAATATTATATTTACCATTTTTCAGTTACAGTTTTACATTCACAGTTTTGCGAGTTTTTCTATATCTAACGAACGTTTGTATGACAGCAATATCCCTTCAGCATAAAAGTTCCATCCCTGTCCGATTCCTGATGTTATGTTCGAAAATCAAAACCAAATCTCATGGGTTTCGGTAAGAGAACTCCGAAACAAAGTATGCAATGAAAATTCTACCTATGTTCGGCAACTTCCGATGTACTGACTTAATTTTCGTTGTTATTTTCGAAAAGATTCGGAGATTCGAAGAGCATTCGGTTCCTAAATTAAAGTGAGACAAAGAAAAATATTTCTTACCGAAAAACAAAAGAATCGATAGTCTCGTTGTTGAAATCGATTTTTTACCAGCTCTACTGACTACTGAATGCTAAGGCATTCACAAGTGTTTTGCATTGAAATTTATTAAATATTGATAAATGGTAAGTTACTTATTTGTATTCAGTTAAGGGGGGTTAGGTATTTTATGTTTTTTATACCCTTGTAGGGTATTATAATTTCAATCAGAAGTTTGCAACGCAGTGAAGGAGGCACCTCCGACCATATAAAGTATATATATTCTTGATCAGGATCAACAGCCGAGTCGATCTAGTAATGTCCGTCTGTCCGTTTCTACGCAAACTAGTCTCTCAGCTTTGAAGCTATCTGAATGAAACTTTGTAGTTAGTCTTCTATATACTCTCACTCGTATATATGTCGGAACGGGCAGGATCGGACGACTATATCATATACATATATAGCTACCATAGGACTGATTGGAAAATTTTTACAAAAAAATTAGAACATTTTCAGTTTTCAACAGAATTTAATCAAATTTGAGATATAGCCATTTCATATTATTCTACAATTTTGTGTAAAATTTTATGAAAATCGGACGACTATATCATATAGCTCCCATAGGAACGATCGAGAAATTAATTCAATTAATAAGTATAACATTTTCAGTTTTCAACAGATTTTCATCAAATTTGAGGTATAGCCATTTTAAATTACTTAACAATTTTGAGTAAAATTTCATGAAAATCGGACGACTATATCATATAGGTGCCATACAAACGATCGTTAGATGTGGTGCAAAAATGCAAATCTGTGAATGTAAAACTAAAAATAGGTGAATGAAATGAAAGCAGGTATTACTTCATTGTTTTTTAACACAAATATATATAATTTAAATTATAGTAGAAGTTCTATCTGCAAGGGTATATAAACTTCGGCGTGCCGAAGTTAGCTTCCTTTCTTGTTTTATATATTTTTTTATATCGAATGCATTATATCTGAAGAATATTGTATCAAAATTTCAAGTCAATTAAAACAAAATTGACGAAGGTATGAATATTTTTACATTTGCCGGATTTTTGTTTTACACTGTTTTTTTTTGTGCTTAAAACTTTAAAGATCTTTTCCCACAACTCACGTTTTCAAAGTCGGTGCCAATCAGAACTTCTAAACAACTGCACCGATCCTTTTGAAATTTTAAACACTATTTCTGTATATATTTTGCGAGGTAACGCTGTTTTTTCATAATTTTGATTTTACAATGACAAATAAGACGATCTTTTCTCAAAAAAATCGGGGTTTCACTTCAAAGTCTTCGAAAAAATTCAAAAATTGGAATTAAAAAAAAGACAGCGGTACCTGGGGTATTCTATAATCTAACGAATGAATTCGGATTTCCAATGATCTGGAATCGAGTACCATCCGTTATAGAAATATATTTTAACTGTGTCGTCGGGAAAAAAATCACAAAAATTTTTCGAATTCCTGATTTTGTTCAAAATCCGGTTCGAAGTCCCCTTCTGATTCAGGAGGAATTCGTGTCGAAGTTTTATAAATAAGTTAATAAATAAAAAATAATTTATAAATTGCGCCAGATATTTACTAGTGGGCGGGGGTTCCAGGGATCTTCCACACGTTTTCTACTCTACTCTAAATTCCCCTACGATTACTGCCTGATTCCGAATCGAATTCCTGGCTGATTCCGTTCAGAATCCGGTTCTAAATTCCCTTTTTATTCTGGGGGAATACGAGTTGAAATTCACGAAAAATTCCTAGCGGGATTTCTTACTGATTACCGGATAATTCTTCGGGTAATCCGAATTCAGGTTTTCTTACGTCTACTGTATGAAAATTCCTGGATGACTTGTATGAAAATTCCTTTATGATTCAGGATGGAGGCCTCTCCAATCCAACCTGATTCAGACCTAATTCCAAAAGGAATGGTACTGACGGGATGATATAGACGTTCGATTTTCGTGAAATAAAAACCGAAATTCTAGAATTATACAAAATGGCTAAATCTTAAATTAAATGCAAATCGGTTGCAAATTTAAAAAGTCAAAATTTTCCGATCGTTCCTATGATAACTATATTATGTGATCGTCCGGTACGGCCCGTTCCAACATATGTAAGACTGAGAGGATATAAAAGACTAACTACGAAGATTCATTCAGTTAGCTTCAAAACTGAGAGTTTTAGTTTAGTAAGAATAAGTAAAGTTTACACTTTTGACCAAAAATTGAAGTATTGTTTATGATGTAATTTTTTTGTACTCCATGTCTTCGCCATGTTAGACGTATATCTAGGTGGACGCCGAGAAACGTTAATTCGTTGTCTTGGGAGATCTGCGCACGGTTCAAAGCGCGGAATCCATGTTTGTCTGTTTAGAGTAAACGTGCTTTTTTTTTTTTTATTTTAATACTCCAGCCAGATAGGCACTTCTTGTTGCACGGACTGGGCATCTGGATCCGCTGAGGATCGTCGCCAAAAGAGGATATTAAACAGAGTTGTTGGGCTTCCTTGTAAAATTAAGCATACACTTAATCTAGATTAACGATCCATACCGGTCTGTATGGCTGGAACCGCTTCTTGCTTATCGAAGACTATGGTTCTTGTTGTCATTGTAGTTGCGCTACAGCCGTTGGAACCGAAATCACAATAGTGTCAAGTGGTATTAGGTGTTTGCTGTAACTTTGCTGCGATTGCAGATTGCAAATGATTGTTGTTGGTGCATCTTCCATCGAAGCTAGTGGTTGTGGGGTTTAGCATTGAAAACTCCATGATGTAGGAGTTGGAATGGGTATACCGGTTAAACAAGAGCGCGCTCTGTTGCTATCAACGGTCAGTAGAGTCGGGTTGCTCTCTGCAAACGTTTTTTCTACATCGCCAGAGCATCTTAAGAAATACGAGCAACTACAATTACGTCCTTTTTTGGATGCCGTTCACTTATTAATTTAAAATAATTTATTGCTGATATTATTCATATCACTTGTTATGAGTTTAATATTTTACTGTTTAGTCTTTTCACACTTATTAAACTACTCCCATATTACTTTAGTATTGTCTCTAATTCATCCCCTTTCTTTAACTTTTCCAGAGCTCGCGCCAATCTTGTCCGCTCTGTCCGGAGTCACAAAGTCAGTCATTTGCAGAAATGATGACTGGGTTCTGGGTGCTCTGGGTTCACTAGAAATGTATTTAGAACCCGCCTAAGAGTGCGGCATAACAGCAGTTTGATAAAAAAAGAGAGGAGGCTTATAGGCCTTTAACCTATCAGGTCCTACCGGAGCTTGCCCGGCGTGAGAACATGGTATCTTAACAATACGAGCACTTTGGCAGGCTTCCCAAAGTAGCCCAGTCTCAAAGGAGCATTAAATATAAGGATTATCAAAAAAAAACTGGCTTAACACGATGAAGCCTTAAAAAAAGATTAGTTTCGTTTAAGCTAAAACTGAATATTATATACGTTTTGGGCATAACAAAAGAATAAGTCTGATTAGAATCCGTAGAGATTGCATAAGTTCTTTGAAGAAAATGAGCAAATAGATCGGTAATTGCCTGATCAATATTTACGATAGTATTTCAAATGAAAGCGAGGAAGGGTTTTGTTTTAGGCTTAAGTTCAGTGCTAATAAAATTATAAAGCTTTTTTGGGTCCTGTGAAAGCTGGACCCTGCAACGGCTTAAATATATATACTGCGCGTTCAGGACGGCAATATTTGACCGAGTTGATATATGAATAGGGCAGTTTGAGAACCCGTGAGATTAAATGAAGCATAAAACCTGAATTTTTTACTTTTAAAGTCGTTTCCTTTACTTCCTGGGCTGGGTCACAGGTGGACCTTTCTAGATATTTGACAGCTCGCACAAAATTTTTAGCCCACAATTGTGAATGCTACAGAAACCACCTAAATCGGTGTAGAAAGGAGTTCCAGGCTAATCCTAAACAATTTTTCTCGTTTGTTAATTCAAAACGAAGATCCCAACTTTTTCCTTCTTGTTTTCATCTCAAAACTGAGTCCGCGTCTAACAAGCCTGATATAGCGAGCAAACCTATTCGCAATATTTTCCAGTCTAGGTACTCATCCTTTGGCTACAATACATCCTTATTCTCTTCCACATTCTAATTCCATTTTCATGCCTGCTATATGCGAAGACGATGTTTTTCAGAATCTCAAGACACTAAAACCTTCCCTTTCTTCTGGTCCTGATCTCGTTCCTAGCTGTGTTTTTAGACATTGTGCTGGTGCTTTATGCCGACCTCTGTCAATTCTTTTTTAGATGTCTCTTCGGCTTTCCTTTTTTTCAGAAAGTTGGAAGTAATCTTTCATCATTCCTCTCCATAAAAAGGTAAGCAAATCTGATATCAAGAAATTACAGAGGAATTGCAAAGCTTAGTGCTATTTTCAAGTTATTCGAACTTCTGATTACTGCGCAGCTGCAGCACCAATACCGGTCAATTATGTCCCCCTCTCAGCACGGCTTTATAAAAAACAGATCAATGTCTACAAACCTTGAATTTTGTGCTGTCATTAGAACCGTTCTTAAATTGAATTCCTAAACGGACCGTTGTATTATAGTTGGATTGCAACATATATATCCAACCGTACTCAACG